CGCCGCGGTCCCCCCCCGTCTCGGGGGCCGAGCTTTTAGCCGCGGCTCGCTCCCGTCTCTTAGGTCCGTGCTTTTAGCCGCGGCTCACGCCCGTTTCTGGAGTTCCTTTAAGCAGCGCTCTTAAAACCCCTCTTCTCGCGCACCAGGAAACACAGAGGCAAGAAAAAGTCTCTTGCCTCCTCAGCAGGTGCAGCCTTTTCCCCGGACTCCCTCCCGGCTAGCCGTGGCGCACTAATCCCTTCGGGCTATGTTCAAGCCGCCAACCCCAGTCCTCTCCCTGAGCTCCGACCGATACCCGAGCCTCAGCTCGCAGCCCTGCCCGCCCCCGGCGGGTGAGCACACGAGCCTCTCGGGCTGGTGAGTGCCGGTCGGCACCGATCCTCTATGCGGGAATCTCTCCGCTTTGCCCTCCGCACCCCTGTTGCTGTGCTGTCCTCCGCGGCTCCGAAGCTCCCCGCTCCGCCTCCCGCAATCTCTGCCCACGAAGGGGCTTCCTAGTGTGTGGAGACCTTTCCTCCTTCACAGCTCCCTCCCACTGGTGCAGGTGCCGTCCCTATTCTTTTGTCTCTGTTTTTAATTAATTTTTTCTTTTGCCCTACCCAGGTACGTGGGGAGTTTCTTGCCTTTTGGGAGGTCTGAGGTCTTCTGCCAGCATTCAGTAGGTGTTCTGTAGGAGTTGTTCCACATGTAGATGTATTTCTGGTGTATCTGTGGGGAGGAAGGTGATCTCCGCGTCTTACTCCTCCTCCATCTTTCCACAACTCCCCACCTTTTTGTTTTGAAATAATTTTAAGCCTTCAAAAAAGTTGCAAAATAGTACAAAGAGTTCATTATATGCCCTTTATCCAACATTCTCAATTTATAAAAGCATAGTACAATGATCAAAACCAGGAAATGAACATCGTTACAGTATTATCTAAATTATAGACCTTATTTGAACTTCACAAGTTTTCCCCTAACAATATTTCTGTTCCCGGGTACAACCCAGGATCCCACTTTGCACTTAGTTGTCCTATGTCTCCTTTATATCCTCTGATCTATGATAGTTCCTCAGTCTTTCCTTGTCTTTCGTGACCTTGACACTATTGATCAGTCATTTTGTAGAATGTTGCACAATTTGGCTTTTTCTGATGTTTTCTCATGGCTAAATTGAGAGTATGCATTTTTGGCAAGAATACCACAGAAGTGATGTTGTGTCGTTGTCAGTACATCATACCAGGGGTACATGATGTTGACATGTCTTACTAATGATGATGCTACTCTTGTTTACTTGGTTAAAGTATTATCTATTGGGCTTCTCCACTGTATACTTTTCTTTTAAAATTATACTTAAAAATTTTAAATTACTAAAGCAATGCACACTCCTGAAAAGTTTAAACAAACAAAAATAAGTAAAGTAATTATACTTCCCACCAAGCCCACCTCACCTTTCCAGAGGTTTCACCACTGTCATCGCTTTGAGGGGTATCCTTCTAGATCATATTCTATATCATATACAAGTACATAACGCGGTCATACCAATTTTTTTGTTTTGTTTTGTTTTACTTAACAGTATTATCCAGGGACAACTTTACATGGCAGTAGAATCAGATCTAACTCATTCTTTCTAATATATAGCTACTATTTTATTCTCTGGGTGACTCTAATATACATCTGTGTATTTTCTAGATTTTGTATGGGCACGTGAATTATTTTTTAACATAAGGCATTTTACCATCAATTTTTTTATCTCATATTTCATCAATAGAAAAATATTCAAATTTTGTCAGAAATTAAAAACCGTAGAATTTAAATTTTTTTAAAAATTTAAATTTCCATCTGTTTCATCACCAGGAATAGATTATCTAAAACTCTAAGTCAAAACAAGCTAAAGAATAAAAAAGTATATTTTTAAACGGAACAAGAGAAAAGAAACTGAACTGCCACTGATTTTATTAAATGTCAGAGGCCATTCATTTAAAAAACACACCATTATTTTATGTAGGGAGAAAACAAATGCCAATTAATTGGAAAATGCTACCAATTTTAGAGTGTTTAAAATGTGCAAAATGGGAGTCTTGGAACTGAGTAAATCAGATACTCCGTTGTTAGCCCTTCATTAACCAGAATTTCTGTGTGGTCTTCCAGGCACAGGTAGGATCCTATGACCAGCTGCCCACTCCAGCCCACCGTGATGGAGGCAAATGATTCCTCTCATGTGGATTCTGAGTTCCGATACACCCTCTTCCCAATTTTTTACAGCATCATCTTTGTGTTGGGGGTCCTCGCCAACAGCTATGTGCTGTGGGTCTTTGCCCGCCTGTACCCTTCCAAGAAATTCAATGAGATAAAGATCTTTATGGTGAACCTCACCGTGGCTGACCTGCTCTTCCTGGTCACCCTGCCCCTGTGGATCATCTACTACTACAACGAGGGCAACTGGATTCTTCCTGAATTCCTGTGCAACCTGGCTGGCTGCTTCTTTTTCATTAACACCTACTGCTCAGTGACCTTTTTGGCCATCATCACTTATAACCGCTTCCAGGCTGTAACAAAGCCCATCAAGACCATTCAGGTCACCACCCGCAAGCGTGGCATCCTTTTGTCCCTGATCATCTGGGTGGCCATTGTGGCCGCCACATCCTACTACCTCATCCTGGACTCCACCAACACGGTGCCCAACAAGACGGGCTCAGGCAACATCACACGCTGCTTTGAGCACTACAAGAAGGGCAGAATCCCAGTCCTCATCATCCACGTCTTCCTCGTGTTCAGCTTCTTCCTCGTCTTCCTCATCATCCTCGTTTGCAACCTGGTCATCATCGTCACGCTGCTCACACAGCCGATGCAGATGCAGCGCAATGCAGAGGTCAAGTGCCAGGCACTCTGGATGGTCTGCACGGTCCTGGCTGTGTTCATCATCTGCTTTGTGCCCCACCACGTTGTACAGCTGCCCTGGACCCTGGCTGAGCTGGGCTTCCAGAACAGCAGCTCCCACCAGGCTATTAACGATGCACATCAGGTCACTCTCTGCCTCCTTAGTACCAACTGTGTCTTAGACCCCATCATCTACTGTTTCCTCACCAAGAAGTTCCGTAAGCACCTAATGGAGAAGTTCTACAGTATGCGCAGCAGCCGGAAATGCTCCCGGGCCACCATGGAGACAGGCACCGAGGTGGTCATGCCGCTCAAACAGGTCCCTGTCAATTCCCTCAAGGATTAGTCCTGGATTGTTTGGAGCCCAGAGGCTTATCCTCCATGGACATCATAGAGTGACCTGGGGGAGGAAGGGGTGTCTGATGTGGCCCTGGCATCTGCTCCCTGTGTACTGGTGGCCCATTAGGTATGGAGGCTACCTCACCAAGGTGTCGACGCTGGGTAGAGCCAGACTGCTGGGAAATCCAGAACTTGAATGAGCCCTTTCAGCCACCTTTGGGCACATGCCATAATAACCTTGGTTGGTAACCTCATCCCGAGCGCCTGAGTCTGACAGCCCTGGAAGGAATGTCAGGGCCAGGGGCAGTCCTTGGGGGTTGACACTGAGCTACCCAGTTCACCCTACCAGGACAGCAGTCCCAAATGAGTAAGTCCTAAAGTTTTGGGCAACCACTCCCTTTATCACTAAAAAGTCAGAGAAGGGGTTTTGGAAAAGGGATGCTCCCCTCCCTGTGTGGCACCATTTTTGGGATAGACTTTTAAGCTAGGATGGTGCCACCCAGTATCTACCGAAAGGCACAAGGTCTTTGTGGCACTTCTCAGGGGAAGTGGCTTGGTGGAACCTTCTCCCGAGTCATGCAACAGCCTGTATTTAGTGATGACCAGAGAAGATAAAACATGCGTAGACCGAAAGCTAGGATGGGGAGCCTGTCTCCTGGGGCAGGTGTGTGTTTCCACACAGGCCTCACCTCAGGCCTGGGGCAGCTCTGGGGCAGCGGGAGAGACACAACACCCACATCCACTTTCTGTCTCAACAAGGGACCCTGATGAAGTAACTCCTGCAGGACAGCCACCCACTGTGGGTGGGAAAAGTCCCCTCAAAGCCAAATTGGGGCCCTCCAGGCCACTGTGATGCCCAGAGGCTTCCATGGGAAAGGACAGTTAGGCTGAGAAGTGCCTGCAGGAAGGCCTCCAGAGTGGAAGGAGTCCGTAGCTCCCCTCCCCACCTCACCTTCTGGGAGGCCCCTCTGACTTAGCTGCCACGAGCTGAGAAGAGCAACTAGAATCCGAGGGCAGGCAGGCACTTTGAGTTCTGGGTGCAGAAGAGAGGTGAAAACTTCTCTTGAGGAGTTCTAGGTGCCTGAGGCTCCTCTTGCACCCTGAGCACCTGCAGTGTGAACCTGACAGCCTTAGACCCAGGGGCTAGGAGGAGCCTTCCCTGGTTTCCAGAAATCGTCTTCCCTTCCAGCCAGTGATCCCACAAAGCTGGGATCCTCATTTCCCGCACACTGGGCTGATTTTGATAAATGCCTCCCAATGGGCCAGAGACCTGCTTTGGTCTGGGGTGGCAGTTGTGGGCTGGACTTAGCAGGTGGTGACTAGGTAGATAGTGCAGCGGACTTGAACTTCGGTGTCACACAGACCCAGGTTCAAGCTGTGGCTTTGTCACTTCCTGCCCAGGGCCTGTGAACTGAATTTCCTACCTCATAGAGTTATGAGGAGCAGATACCTCTAGGTCAGGCTGACGGCTCATCCCAGATTCTCCCGTCTTCTGAGAATTTGTTCCCCCTAACCCTCCGATAGGAGCTGAAGGGATGAGAGGTGAGTGTCTGTGTCTAGTGGGGCCAGTCAGGTTCTTGCTTGGGAATAAGCAGCAAGATTCAGGGGTGCTCTTTCAGGCTCTGCAGGCCACTTGCCGGAACACATTTAAACTCTGGAGCTGTGTGTGCGTGTGTCTGCGTGTGTGTGTGCATGTGTGTGTGAGGTGTGTGTGTCTGCGTGTTTGTGTGTGAGGTGTGTGTTTCTGTGTGTGTTTCTGTGTGTGTGCATGTATGTGTGAGGTGTGTGTGTATGTGTGAGTGTGTGTGTGTGAGTGTGTGTGTGAGAGAGGTGTGTGTGTATGTGTGTGGCCAGTGGACCAGGGTTGAGGGAGGCACCTGCATGAATGTAGTAGAGAAAACGGCTCTGCTCAGAGAGAAGACAGAGGTGTGCAGAGCAAGGCAGAGACCGGGGGGACCGCAGGGGCCTGGAGAGAGGAGGGGCAGTGCTTCCAGGGGCCTGCTGGCTCCCTTCCTCCAGGCCCAGCCCTTCTCGAAGCTCAACATCTGCGCTGCTTCCTTTGGGTCCTTGTGAGATTCCCTTTTAGGATACATTCTCTTATTTTGCTTAAGCTGATTTGAGTGATTATCTATTATTTGCAACCAAAGAGTTCTGGATGAGATAAATGCTTGTATGCTAAAGCACAGTGTTTCTTGAATTTCAGCCGTTTGTGTACTCCCTTCGTAAATTTTGCAATATCCATGTACCATCTGTATGTTTACTCAAGAAATATATTTCTCTAAATCGAGTCACTTTTTAAAACTTTCACCTGTTTAAAAGGATGCTTTAGAACTAAATTGTAAATGAAAACAAATGCCACCTGCCACACATAGAAGGTAAAAATAAACACAAAACACAAATATTGAAATCAAGGGACTTCCCTGGTGGCGCAGTGGTTAAGAATCCGCCTGCCAATGCAGGCGACACAGGTTCAAGCCCTGGTCCGGGAAGATCTCACATGCCACAGAGCATGCGTCACAACTACTGAGCCTGCACTCTAGAGCCCGCGTGCCACAACTACTGAGCCCGCGCGCCACAATTACTGAAGCCCGCGCACCTAGAACCCATGCTCTGCAACAAGAGAAGCCACTGCAATGAGAAGCCCGTGCACTGCAACAAAGAGTAACCTCTGCTCGCTGCAAGTAGAGAAAGCCCGCGTGCAGCAATGAAGACCCAGTGCAGCCAAAAATAAATAAATAAAATAAAATAATAAATTTATTTAAAAAAAAAAGAAAAAAAGAAAATCAAAATGTTCTTGGTGTCCTGTCTACAGTCACCTCATATGCCCCACAAGTTGCATAGCACACTTTAGGAAACATTGCTATGTATATAAAGTACACAGGGTCTGCATTCAGTAAGTGCTCAATAAAGAGACAGGCAGCTCACCCTTTATTCCTGTTTTACCCCTAGGTTCTTCATAACATTTTTTTCCCTTAAATTCCATATATA